CAACACTGTAGTCACATACAGCTGTAAGAAGTAATGCAAAGAGATCCCATGTACCTATTACCCAGTTTTTCCCAATGGTAGCATCTTATGAAACTATATTAAAATATCACAACCAGGACACTGGCATTGATACTGAACTTATTCAGATGTCCCAGTTTTTGCTTGTCCTCATGGGTATGTGTGTATGTGTGTGTATTTAGTTCTATGCATTTAATCACATGGGTAGTTTTATGTATTTATAGCCAGTCAAGACACATTAAGTCCATCACCAGAAGGATCCCTCACTGGCCTTGTATAACCATTCCCACTTCCCTACCTAATTATTGTCAACCACTAACCAGTTAATTTAATTCTATAATTTTGTCATTTAAAGAATATTACATAAATGAAATCATACAGCATATAACCTTTGGGATTGGCTTTTTTCACTCAGTGTAATTCCCAGGAGATTCATCCAAGTTATTAAATTTTTCAATAGTTTGTTCTTTTTTGTTTTTGTTTCATTAACTGAAGGTCCCCAGCTTATATTAGGGCTCACTCTTGGTGTGGTACATTCTATGGGTTTGGACAAATGCTTGAGGTCATGTATCCAACATTATACTTTCATATAAAATAGTTTCACTGCCCAAAAAAATCCCCTGTGCTTCACCCAGTCGTGAAGGTGACTACCTCTCCCCCCACTGACAATCACTGATCTTTTAACTGTATCTATGGTTCTGCCTTTTCCAGAATGTCATATAGTTGGAATCATATAGATACAGACTTTTCATACTGTCTTTTGCACTTGGCAATACACATTTAAGATCCTTCCATGTCTTTTTATAGCTTAATAGCTCATTTCTTTTTATCACCACATAATAGTCCACTGCATAGATATACCACAGTTTTGCTTTTCTATTTGCCTACTGAGAGACATTTGGCTGCTTCCAGTTTTTGACAATTATGTATAAAGGTGCTATATCCACTTGTGGGCAGATTTCTGGGCTGACACAAATTTTCAGCTCATACGGTTAAATGCCTAGGAGTATGATTGCTGGATCATATGGTAAGACTAGGTTTAATTTTTGTAAGAAACTGAGAATTGTCTTCCAAAATGGCCCTGCCATTTTGCATTCCCACCAGCAATGAATGAGAGTTCCAGCTGCTCTACATTCTTGTCAGGATTTGGTACTGCCAATTTTTTTATTTTATTTTATCCATTCTAAAAGGTGTGCAATGTTATCATGTTGTTTAATTAGCAATTCCCTAATGACGGGTGATATGGAGCATCTTTTCATATATTTATTTGCTATTTGTATATCTTTTTTGGTGAGGTGCCTGTTCAGATCTTTTTCTCATTTCCTAATTGGGTTGTTTGTTTTCTTACTGATAAGTTTAAGAGCTCTTTGTGTATCTTGGAAACAAGTCCTTCATCAGATACGTGTTTGGTAAATATTTTCTCTCAGTCTCTGGCTTGTCTTTTTATTCTCTTGACAATGACTCTCAGAGAGCAGAAGTTTTTAATTTTAATGAAGTTAGTTAGCTTATCTATTTTTTCTTTCACAGATTATGCTTTTGGCATTGTACCTAAAATCTCATTGCCAAAAACCTATAGCAACATTTACAAAAAGTGATTGACTTTAGTCTGGTGCCCTGACACCATGAACACAAAGTCAACAGGTAGTCTATAGGTAAATGCTTCAGCAACAGCAGAGAGGTGGAACTCATAAGAATATAAAAGAAAAAGAAACAGAAAAGGCAGAGTGCATGTGAGAGGAACATGCAGCAGGTGACTGAGGTAAGCTGTTTCTCAGTGGTAAAGAACTTGTTACTGGAGGCTGCTGGACAACATCAAAATGACCTTGAATTCAATTTTATAGTTAAGCCAAGTATATGAATATAGAAGGGCTCACGTATGTGCATCGCCATCGCCCTCGAATGGATGACTGCAAGAGAGAACCAAGGCCACCTACATTTTGCCTACTATTTTTGGATGGTATTCACAGTGTTTAGGACATTCCAGCTCATAACAATGAAACCAGTCAACCAGATAGGATTTCAGAGTTAGAGCTTATCGGAGCTCAAGAGTGTGTGAAACCAGATTAACAGCACATACTCTTAAACCAATCCAGGTACAGCAGAAGTCACATTCCATTATAAAGAATTACTTTGCAATCTTAGTAAAAGGCAAATACTCTAAAATCCCTCAAATTAGCAGACTTAATACCAGTCAAATCCCATTATCCCCACACCAAAAGAATGTGCAAAATATGCAATTCTTGAGTTGTTTTAGAATTTTATGGTATTGAATATATTTGAAGTAAATAGGCTACAATCCTGGGATATGGGAATCTTCTTTCATAATGAGAATCTTCTCACTTTTATTTTAATGAGATTTGTTGTCATAACATTATAGTCCAAAATGTAAGATAAGAACATCTTTCAGACCATTTGTGTGTGTGTGTGTGTGTGTGTGTGTGTGTGTGTGTGTGTGTGTGTGTGGTAATTCACTGAAAACATCTGTTGTGTAACTGAGGTCACTTTTGACTTGAATCAGTGAACTGATTATCCAATAAGAAAGTAAAACTACTAAATAATGAGCAGTAGTTTAAGACAGAAAGCTAGCAACATCTATAGAGACAATCTGACCAACACTGAGAACCATTATTAAATGCCAGGCATACTGGGAACTGCAGACACATAAAGTGACTTAAGGCATTGTTCTTGCTCTCAAGAGATGCAAGGCTTTTTTTCTAGAAAGACCATTGAAAACATCTAAATCACTTCTTATTCTTTTGTGAAGGGGAGAAGAGTCACCAAGTAAGTCCTATCCTGTGAGGTCACCTATCTTTGAACTCTGGACATTGGAGGGTGGAAGACTGTTAAATATTATATACTCTAATGTTCATATTTCACAGACAAAGAGAACTCAGAAAAGTCAAAGAGTTTATCTAAAATTGTAGTATTGGGACTAGAAACCACATTTCTGGTGCTTGTTACTTTACATTAGAACACCTCTCTTAAGAGTTTAATGGACTTTTCTCATTCCTACTTCTTTTCCTAGTTAGGCTGCAGCTTATTATGTCAGTTGGATTCAGAGTCAAAGAGCTCATGCTAGTTTCTCTTTATACTCTCATTTTCAAAAAGTCCATATCATAGTTCCCCTTTAACACGTAAGTTTTTAAAATATTAAGGATTCATTTTGGCCTAGGTGGTAGAGAGATTACTAACTTAAGAAGGCATGCTTCCTACTTCTGAGGAATTTATTGTAAATGTAAACATCCAGTCCAGTATCCTCAGACACCAAGGTTGTATGTGTGAAGCTCATCACTATCACCCAATCAAGTTTTCTAATTGAAATCTCCTTCTTAGGTCAATGACTCATTAATTCTCCAGGCCCCATGGTAAAATCTTGAAGCTACTTTTGCTACTCTGGCATGAAAGTGAGAGTATCTGGTTTTTAATCCTTGCTACCATTAATAGACTAGTTTTGAAATCCTAGGCAAGTCATACATCTTTGGGCTTACTCTCCTCAATCAGTAAAATGAGGATAGAACACCAATCTACTGTGATTTACCTTCTTTTCAATCAAATCCAAGGCACTAAGCATAATCAATTACTTTTCTTTTTATTTATTAATTTATTTTCTGCATATCTCTTGGATTTATCTTGCCTCCTCTGCCATGTTCATCATAGTCAAGTTCTTAATTTCTGGATTATTGCTAAGCAGGCTTCAAGTTCTCTGGTGTAGATGTAACTTGTTAAAAGCAATTTTAAGCAAGATTTAGCCTAGAAGTATATGAGTTAGACTATACTTCTAATTAGAAAACGAATTAAGAAGCCTATTCGAATAAAGATCAATTTCACACCAAAAGCCTGTCCTTCAAATCTCTCAAAAGTTGGCATTAGTTGGCCTTTCTGCTTTTACTTCACATGACTCCTCAACACATGACCTTTCTGACCACACCTTCATATTTTTAATGTTGTTCCTATCCTTCCTATAAGGAAGCTTTTTCCTTTTTGTTACCTTAATTCCAATAGTTTATTTAAGACCAATTTCCTCCATGGACTCAGTAATCTTTCTTTTCTCTTAATTCTTACACAAATATTTAGAGTACCAACAATAATCCCCTGTCCTAACTTCTCTTAATATTATTAGCATAACAGAGATGATTTATGAAAACTTTCAATCAACATTAGTGGAAGAACACATATAAAGGTGATGTAAAGAGTATAATTTATTTTCTTTCTTATTCTTATTTCCTTTGCAAAGTAAAAAGTTGTTGATCTTTGGGGCAGAGAATTAATATATACTTTTAAATATTTTAGAACACTTAATAAGAATCTTAAAAGACATTTTTTTGGCTCTACCAACTTCTGATATATGAAGATGTGTGAACAAAAGTAAATGAATTGGTTACCAATTAAAATGTAATTTAGGCAGATATTCAAACAAGTAGTGAGTCATGCTACATAAATGTTGGCAGGGGACCTTTCTCCATTAGCAGGCAAGCTCTGAAGACTCTAAACATGTTTCAGTCATGAAGCAATTGGTGTCAATCTGACCAAATGACTGTCAAAGTTAGTCTTAAAAATAGCAGAGAAACATTTAGGGAATACTCCGAGTTTTATTTTCTCTCTTACTTGCACCCTAATTGAATACCTTCTTCACAGAAAGGCCACAGTTAGAGAAGTAAAAGGGTTTCACGTGGCAGGAGTAGAGTACCGCTGTCATATCCCCTCAGTTTTTTTAGCATGCACTGTCTGAGAACATTCACTGTATTCCCTTGTACCAACTCCAAAACAGATTTTCCCAAGAAATGGGTTTCAAACAATTTTAGTTCCCATCACTTCTGTCTACTTGTCACATCTGAAAAAATATCCATTATATTACAAAAAGATTCAGTTATCCAGTATTTGTTAATTACAATTGAGACCAGAAACACAAAGTTTCAAAGAAAACAATTGAAGGGAACATCTGAAAGTAATTTCACCCCATTCTTTGTTGCTCTGCTACTCACGGCAAATCTTCCAAACCGGAGGCTTCATGTCTTGGATCCAAAAGATCATAACCACATTCATTGTAGATTTCCAAGTAGGAAATGTGCGTTGTATATATTTTGCTGCTGTCCTGATTGGAAAAGGGAAAGACATTATTTTATGGCTATAAAGAACAATTCGGCTTAGAGGAAGATGAGCACATTTATCACTATAGTTTCTTCACAGTTCCTCTCCGTTACTCTCTCACTTTGTATGGCTTACATTTTCAGTTCGTGACACTTTCAAGTTGCCAGTTACCATATGCATGAAACTTTTTTTTTTAATGGCCAACACCCATGATTGCAAGCAACTTCAGTCTGTTGCTTTTTATTGGTTCCACGTTGTACATAAAAAGTCAATAGACACTTAAAATGAGCCAACTTGGTTGCAGAACTGTATAACACACCATTTTTTTACTTTCCAGATTAAAAAACCCCACAAAAACCAAGATTACTGTACAAAAATAAACTTGCATTCTGTGAATAGTCTATTTGTAAAAGGACAGAATTGTCACTTTGGTTTAAAAACTTCAGTAGCAAAAGAGTTTCCATCTTTAATCATAATTCTTTTTTTAACTTTTCTAATACTCAAATTATCTCATGACATAAATAGATAACTGATAATAAGCTGATAATTGAAAGTGAATTCCAGGGGACAAAAGCAATTTAGATCAATCAGGCAACAGTAAGAGTGGACATTAACAGTTCACTGCTATACCTAACTTGGTGGGTTAATTTTCCTGGTCCAAGTGGCACATCAAGGATATGTTACTATTGGTTTGAGAGACATATGTTCTGTGGGTCATTGCTGAAATGCAATGACATAGGCATCCATGTATAAAAGTCAAAGTAAATGGTCCTAGTCTCAGGTCTGCCAACAGACAAAAAAGACCCACTACTGAGACAAAATAAAACAGGGAATTTTCTCAGGTCTCAAGAAAATTCCAAGCTCAATTTTTAAGACAAAATATCAAACAATAGCATCTTCTTATTGCTTTTCCCAAAATACAAATGCTTCCATTTCTGCAAATATTATATTCCTGCTTCTCATAAAAGGAGAACATACATTATGTCTTGCGGCAAGAAGTTTGGCAGATTGTCAGGCACAGAGAGGTTTTCTTAGGATGACCTTCTTGACTAATCCTCACACATATCCAAAAGAACCAATTGACAGGTGTCATTGGGAGAGAGGACCAAGTCACAGAGATAGGGGAGAAAACCTGCAATTAGCCTGCAAATCCAAAGCTGGAATTCTAGGCCTTCTAGATATGAGCCCCTACCATGTCAGGCCTCAGTTTCCACATCCATTAAAGTGAGAAAGTTGGATAATGAACCCCTATGTGTTCTTCAGATTAAAATTAGTATGACTCTCCAGTCTTAAAACGGCCTAAACTCTCCAAGTAAAGATACTATTATATCACAAGAACAAAATAATTACGTGACAAATTAAGGCAACTCTCAGCCAGCACATGACTATAGTAAAACATTCAAGCTACAGCTGACATTCCATGTTCTGGTGTTCTGGGAAGGTGACAGCAGGAAGTGAATCTCTACTAAGCAAATTTCTCCCAACCAAATACTGGAAATCTTGCTGGTGAGGATGACTCTGTTGCTTATCCTGACAAACAGTCTATCAATTATATTAGTATCACAGTTTACTAAAGACATCATTTCAACACAATTCTTGGGTTATATCTTGGCTAAGTGCAGGTATCAAAGACTAGAAATACTACAGAGACTCTGTGTGGCTTTTAGTCTAATTCAGTGTTTCCTAAAAAATTCCATGAAATACTCATGGGAAAAAGTGTTCCATGACTAACATATATGCAGTCTCTCTCTGGAAGATTCTCACAGCATGTTAAAGGCCATGGAGATCATTCAGCCACTTCCAGAGATCCTGTTTAAAATATGTTTCTAAAATTTATCTGAATATACCTGATATCCCATAGATCATGGCTTGAGATTTTTAGCATACAATTCTGAGCTCATTGTAGCATCAGAAAAAAATGGATTTGAATACAGGATCTGCCATTTATAACTGAGTGATCCTACACCATTATCCTCAGTTGTTCAATTAAGCAATTGGGGATAATAACCTTTATCTTGCAGAATTACTGTGGCAGGAAAAAAAAGGTTCTGTATTTAAAATCCTACCAAAACTGTGGACCCATAACAGACACCAACAAATTGATGTTGCTGCTGCTGTTATTATTATTGCTGTTCTTGTGTTTTACTTCAATTTCTAAAAGCCTCCAAGTACATAATTCAGTATGTGAATATAAAAGGAAAGGAGAAGAAAGGCAGAGAGAACGGCCAACTTCTGTGTCCATCTCCAGTGAAGAAACTCTCTTCCTCCAGAAATTAGAAGAAGTCATAAAACTCAGGAAAATAGCAAGTCCACTGCCCTGAGATGATAGGGATAATGCCTTTGGCTCCTCCAGCTTCTGCATTTTCCGGGCTTTCATTGGAATACACACTTAAAATTCACTGAGCAATGTGGCAAGCTACCTTTCCTTATTACTCCTTTTTCAGTGTTTAGGATTGCCAGACTGTAATGTAACACACATGTTTCCTGCACACAGTCTTTTCTCTTGCTCCAAAACAAGTTTGAACCTCACAATACTCAAAAATAATGAGCAGTGATTTCTAAAATAAATGGAATCAATTTTCTTCTTTTAAGATCATTGCAAATGTGCTCCTATCACACTCACAGGCATTTTAGGACCCAGTGCACTAGCTCTTAGTTTATCTTGAAATAAATACTTTGCATAAGTCAAATGTTTCCTTTAAGGATTCTAAAGAGCTCCATGTGCCCCTATGAAGCAATCAACTCAGAGCATGAGTACCTGTCTGCATTTTTCAACTATACAATGTGGACAAAGTTTACGATGAACTTCAAGTGGCACTGTCTTGTTTTGCAGCAGTGCAGTTTGATTATAATGCATGTGCTGTGCTCCATTGTAGAAATCTGTCCATTTACAAAGGGTTGTTCTGGCTATAAATTGCTCCAGTGGGCTTTCTCCAAGTCTAGGAAGTCATTTAGGATCATTCAGAATGAAATGGACTTTAGAGTAATGTCAATAACAGACATAAAACAATGAACCCAACAGACGGTACGTACTGGAGACAGACTTTTGGAACTGTATTTTGGTAACCACAGACAAAATTTTAAAAGGAACAAATATATTTTCTATTAGGAAAGAATTTGTTTATTTTGTTTAACTTAAAAGGGAGAATTTGCTTCATTTGTTCTGAGTTTCAAAGGGTTCTTGGAAATTGGTCAGGAATCATTTGGCCACATGCATATAGATAGAAAGGTAGATAGATAGATAGGTACACGTAGATAGATATTAATGGCTGCAGTAATAATATCATGTACTGAGTATAATATCGTGTACTGACTAAGAACTGGTCAATATCTTTAAACACAGCCTGTTAAGCCCTCAGCAACTCCACAAGCCTGAACCATAAGTAACCACCCCAACAGTGCATGCTCTATGCAGTACACTTTCTCTGAACCAGGTTAGCCTGCACAGATTCCAGAGATCTTTCCAAGAAAACATGCTTCCACATTAGGCCACAGCAATAAAAACTATCAGAAATCATGACATTAGCTGTCATGACAGAATCTGACATTAGCTGTCAGAAATAAGCAAGTAAATGAAAAGGAGGGATTTGGATACAACATATGCACTATACTCAACCCTTCCTCTTCCAAATTTTCTGGCCTGCATAGTTGGCATGTTTGAGCTTGTGAGAGATGAGCTGAACTAATGGGTAATTGCTACTTTATGGATGGAAATTAGAATTATGCAGATCTCAGCGATTTCTTCTCATCTTTACAACTCAAAATGCAAACAGCATACAGTCAAGAAATTTTGGAATGACTACTTCGCTGACCTACTTAGGCCATTTGTTATACAGAATGAAGGGAACCAAAGAATTGCTGGAACTGGTAAGGTTATTGGAGATCCTCTAGGATAATTCAATCCCTGCTTTCCCAGAGGGGAGAACTGAGACCCAAAGAAGTTAAGTAATTCAATGTAGAGACTTTGTTTAAATATAACTAACAAAACGAAGCCAGTCTAAAGTATAGAGGTAGTGTATGTAGTGACGAAAAGCACTGACCTGGGATGCACTTCCAGGTCAGTTACTCATAAGCACCTAGAGGAAGATTTGAACCTGAGACTCAATTTTCCCAAGTATAAAATGGGTACAAGGATGCCTACCTTGTTAATTGTATTATACGTTGTATTAAATACCAATAAAGCAACAGCCACTTGGAGACATGCAATAAATAAGGCATATAATATAGATAGGGTATCCTTTTTATTAACAACATAAATTATAATAGGATTTTTACTCTGGTAAACTCCTCTGGGCGTCTATTTAAAGTATGAAAAAGGTACAATCACATTATCCTACTCAATGCTTTACCAGCTAAAATAAAGGTTTGTCTTGGCAAAAGGACATTCTTCAATTTCTTAATGAGGAATATAAGATGTTAGTTGGTGAAATGTGTTATCTGTTCTTTTAACCTCCATGGGTATATGAGAAGGAATTCCCTTTGAGCCTTTGCTGAAATAGCATCCCTTTAATGAGAAGCCCCTTCTTAATTCCTACATCTTCAGCAAAATCCCAAATTTCCCTTAATGAAAGACCAGAGTTATTACATAATATTTCCTCATTTAAATATAACATCATGAAATATTACAATAAATTTTTCACCCACAGTAAATTTCTGCTGAATATATCAAATATAAAATAAACTTAGTTTCATACCTTTTGTAATTGCTCAAAAATATACGACAGTGTCCTTGGGATAATGCCTCTGTCACTGTAGCGCTCTGCCCCACCTGTGATGGTGAATGTCTTACCGCTGCCTGTTTGCCCATACGCAAAGATGGTACCATTATAACCTGCCAAGACACTACACAAGGAAATAGCACACTTTTAAAATCAAAATAGCTAATTGCACATGTATTAAATGACTTGCATTCTAAATTTATTCAACACTGTTGGAAAGGCATTTACAGAAATGCCTATAGAAATATTCATATATGTATCTAGTTGGATTTGCTGTATCCTGGAGTGTCAGCACATTCATCCTTTTCTCTAAGAAAGGATCTGTAACTCAGATGGAGTCCAGTCATCTTAAATATTTGTTTTTGTTTAATATGAATGAAAATTTTATTTAGAATAGTTTCAAATTTACAGAAAAGTTTCAAAGACAGTATAGAGTTCACATATACCCTACCCTTAGTCCCCTATTGGTGATATCTTACATTAGTATTATATTATATATCTTACATTAGTATTAGTATTATATTGTCACAATGAACCAATACTGATGTATCAAAACCTTTATTAAAATTTCCTTGGTTTTACACATATAATACGAAAATAGAGCAAATACAACGAATTCTAAAAGAATGACCAGAAAGAAGATTGAAGCAGCCAGCATATATCTGGGAAAAAGGAAGATCTCAGGGAATAGAGTAAAGTAACAAAGCTGTGATCTGGTGGGACCCAAGCCCTTCCCTCACCCCAGCCCACCAGTGGGAGGAAGAGAAACAGAGCGGGGAGGGAGAAGAAGCCCAGAACTTCTAATACTCAGCCCAGGAGATCTACTCTGGGAGCACAAACCCACATTGCATAGTGCTGTGGAGATTAGAGGGGTTGGAAAGCAAACACAGGCGGAATACTTGAAGAGACTGAGATTCTAGCTGCTAGTGGAGAACAGGTTCCCACACTGGCTGCTCTGGGACAAAAGAAAGGCAGGTGCTTTGAAAGACTTCTTACCAATCAGAGGGATGCTAAAGGGGTAAGGATTACACAGAGCTCGCTACTGAGGATAAGGAACGGGTGGACAAAATCACCTGGAACACTCAGCCCAGCATGTTGGGAACTTTCAGGAGCTTCAGGTGCTCCATCCCCACTGGCAGACAATGCAGCTCCAAGGACCCCCACTGCAATAAGCAATCTGCGGCTCCTGCCGCCTGGCCATTGCACCAGGCTAGTCAGAAGGAAGCCACGCCTACAGCACCTATAGGGGCTTAATGCAGAGGCTCCTCCCTGCACGCTCACTGGCTCTGATCATGGAGGCAGGCACCGCCACTGGGAAGCAGGAAAGAGCTCTCTCCTGCTGGCAGGCACCAACAAGGCTCACCTGTGATGCCCACCATCGTTCCAGACCAGAGGAAGGCAGCCCTGTCTATGGAAGCTACAGAGGCATATCCAAGAGGCTGCTCCCTGCACACACGTCTAACTGGCCCTGGCAGTGGAGGCAGGCACTGCAGCTGGGAAGCAGGAAAGAGCTCTCTTCTCCCAGTAGGCACCAGTACCACAAGCCTGCGACCCCTGCCATTACCCCTGGGCAGCTCTGAAGAGTATAGATTCTGGGCACTAAAGGGCACTGCCTACACAAAGCATGTATTCCACATTATCCAATAGGATTATGAAAAGGCAGAAGAACCTTGTTCAATCCAAAATCCCTCAAACAGCAGAAAGAGGGCTCAGTGAAACTGAAATCACCAATCTTCCTGAAAAAGATTTCAAAATAAAAATCATAAACAGACTAGTGGAGCTATAGAAAAATATTCAAGAGCTAAGGGATGAATTAAAGAGAGATACACACATTGAAAAATACAGTATCTGAAAAGAAACATACAATGGAGGGATTTAAAAGTAGATTAGAAGAGGTAGAGAAGACAGTAAATGGAATAGAAATTAGAGAATAGGAATACAAAGAAGCTGAGGCATAGAGAGAAAAAAGGATCTCCAAGAATGAAAGAATATTGAGAAAACTGTGTAACCAATCCAAATGGAACAATATTCGTGTTATAGGGGTACCAGAAGAAGAAGAGAGAGAAAAAGGGATAGAAAGTGTCTTTGAAGAAATAATTGTTGAAAACTTCCCCAATCTGGGGAAGGAAATAGTCTCTGAGGTCATGGAAGCACACAGAACTCCTAACACAAGGGACCCAGTGAAGACAACACCAAGACAAATAATAATTGAAGTGGCAAAGATCAAGGACAAGGACAGAGTATTAAAAGCAACCAGAGAGAGAAAAAAGATCACCTACAAACCATCAGGCTATCATCAGACTTCACAGCAGAAACCTTACAGGCCAGAAAGGAGTGGCATGATATATTTAATGCAATGAAACAGAAGGGCCTAGAACCAAGAATACTCTACCCAGCAAAATTATCATTTAAATTTGAAGGAGGGATTGAACAATTTCCAGATAAGCAAAAGTTGAGGGAATTTACCTCCCACAAACCATCTCTACAGTATATTTTGAAGGGACTGCTCTAAATGGAAGTGCTCCTAAGGCTAAATAGCTGTGACCAGAGAAAATAAAACCACAGTAAAGGAAGCAGGCCAATTAATTACTAACCAAATGCAAAATTAAATCAGCTACCCACAAAGTCAGTCAAGGGATACACAAAGAGTACAGAATATGGCACCTAACATATAAGCAGTAGAGGAGAAAGAAAAAGAAGGGAGGAGAAAAAAAGAAACTTTAGATTGTGTTTATAATTGCATAATGAACAACTTAAGTTAGACTGTTAGATAGTAAAGAAGCTGCCCTTGAACCCCTGGTAACCACAAATCCAAAGCCTGCAATGGCAATAAGCACATATCTATTGATAATCACCCTAAATGTAAAAGGACTGAATGTACCAATGAAAAGACACAGAGTTACAGAATGGATAAAAAAGCAAGACCCATCTATATGCTGCTTATAAGAAACTCACTTCAAACCCAAAGACATACAGACGAAAAGTGAAGGGATGGAAAAAGATATTTCATGCAAACAATAGGGAGAAAAAAGTAGGAGTTGCAATGCTTGTATCAGACAAAATAGACTTCAAAACAAAGAAAGTAACAAGAGACAAAGAAGGACATTACATAATGATAAAGAGGGTATAACCATTATACATATCTATGCACCCAACATAGGAGCACAGAAATATGTACAACAAATACTAACAGAATTAAAGGGGGAAATAGAATGCAATGCATTCATTTTAGGAGACTTCAACACACTACTCACTCCAATGAACAGATCAACCAGACAGAAAATAAGTAAGACGACAGAAGCACTGAACAACAAATTAGAACAGATGGACCTAACAGACATCTACAGAACACTCCACCCAAAAGCAAAAGGATACACCCACTTCTCAAGTGCACATGGAACATTTTCAAGAATAGATCATATACTAGGCCAAAAAAAGAGCCTCAGTAAATTCAAAAAGATTGAAATTGTACTAATCAACTTCTCAGATCACAAAGGTATGAAACTAGAAATAAATCATACAAAGAAAACAAAAAGGCCACAAACACATGGAGGCTTAAAAACATGCTCCTAAATAATCTATGGATCAATGACCAAATTAAAACAGAGATCAAGCAATATCTGGAGACAAATGAAAACAACAGCTCAAGGCCACAAGTTCTGTGGGACACAGTGAAGGCAGTTTTAAGGGGAAAGTATATTGCAATTCAGGCCTATCTCAAGAAAGAAGAACAATCTCAAATGAACAATCTAAATGCACAATTAACGAAACTAGAAAAAGAACAAATTAGGCCCAAAGTCAGTAGGAGGGACATAATAAAGATCAGAGAAGAAATAAAATTGAGAAGAATAAAACAATAGAAAGGATTAATGAAACCAAGAGCTGGTTCTCTGAGGAAATAAAATAGATAAACCCCTAGCCAGACTTATCAAGAAAAAAATAGTCTACACACATAAACAGAATCAGAAATGAGAAAGGAAAAATCACTACAAACACCACAGAAATACAAAGAATTATTAGAGAATGCTATGAAAAATTATATGCTAACAAATTGGATAACCTAGAAGAAATGGACAACTTTCTAGAAAAATACAACCTTCCAAGGCTGACCCAGGAAGAAACAGAAAATCTGAACAGACCAAATACCAGCAATGAAATTGAATCAGTGCTCAAAATACTACCCAAGAACAAAACCGCCAAACCAGATGGCTTCACTGCTGAATTTTATCAGACATTTAGAGAAGGCCTAATACACATCCTCCTTAAAAGTTTTCCAAAAAGTAGAAGAGGCAAGAATACTTCCAAACTCATTCCATGAGGCCAACATCACAGTAATACCAAAACCAGGCAAAGACACCACAAAAGAAGAAAATTACAGACCAATATCCCCTATGAACATAGGTGTAAAAATACTCAACAAAATATTAGCAAAGAATTTGAAAATACATCAAAAAGATCTTACATCATGATCTAGTGGGATTTATCCCAGGGATGCAAGAATGGTACAATATTTGAACTCTATTAACATCATCCTCTACATCAACAAAAAGAAGGAAAAAATCGGATAATCATCTCCATAGATGCTGAAAAAGCATTTGACAAAATTTAAGATCCTTTCATGATTAAAAACTCTCAACAAAATGTGTATAGAGGGCAACACAACATAATAAAGGCCATATATGACAAACCCACAACCAACATCATACTTAACATCAAAAAGCTGAAAGCTTTTCTTTTAAGATTTTCTTTTAAGACAAGAATGCCCACTCTCCCCCCTTTTATTCAGCATAGTTCTGGAGGTCCTAGCCATGGCAGCCAGATAGCACAAAGAAATAAAAGGCATACCAATCAGGAAGGAAGAAGTTGAATTGTTACTGTTTGCAGATGATGTTACACTGTACATAAAAAAAACCTAAAGAATCCATTCCAAAACTACTAGAACTAGTAACTGAATTCAACAATGTTGCAGGACACAAAATTAATACCCAGAAATCTGTTGCATTCCTATATACTAACAATGAACTAGGAGAAAGAGAAATCAGGAAAACAATTCCATTCACAATTGCATCAAAAAGAATAAAATACCTAGGAATAAACCTAACCAAGGAAGTGAAAGACCTATAC